TGTCAAATCAGAGGTCATGACTAGTTTCTAGACTAGTTTCTAAACTTGTGGTTCATTGTGTGAGACCAAAACAGGAACAATATTCCTTGCAGGTTAAGGGCTCTGTTTACAGTTAAGACAGCTAAGAATAAGTGCCTGTTTTTCCTGTTTTAAGTCCTTGCAAGGTAAGGTTTCTTTTTTCAATTAAGAATCAGTCCGATCTGATGTAAACTGCTTGCAACCGCACTCACGTGACGTAGAATATCCTTACCCTTGTTCCTTCCCTTCCATTGCGTCTGTTTAACATTGTACGACACACAGCAAACTCACTTGCTTTTGGGAACCCCTTATCTCTCCTATTAAAGGGTCTTCAAGGGACCAGTAGAGGTCACTCTCTTAAACCCCAACTTAAGGTAAGACAGAGGGCTGACCACTCTTGGGTGCACCCCCAAACACAGCTTGCTTTAATAGGATAATCATGAATTTGGTCTTTTCTCCTCAAGATTCTCAAGTTTAACAACTGCCAAATAAATTTTCCAGAATGGATATGCTGATCTATACCCTTGTCAATAGTGCAGCATAGGACAAATGTCTCAACATCCTCGGCAGCATGGGAAATTCGCTTTTAAAATCTCTTCCAATGGGAAGAGTAAAAAATGAGAGTGTTTGATTACTTAGATGTAGACTACTTACAAGCACCCATCCCTTGGTTTCAGAGATCCATGAACTGTTGGTCGTACTTGGATCTGGATAAAGACGGCTCGGGTGTCTTTCTGCTTTGCGGTGTCCTGAGACATGGATACTCTGTCTCCCATCCTATCACAACAGCTGTGTAGCTGTGAGCCTTTCCTGCCGAGATTCCTTCCTCAAGGCCAGCTGTCAACATCGATGGATTTCTGTGGGTTTCTTGGGTAAGGAAAGACAAGTGCTGTCTTTCTTCCTTCCTTCCTTTCTTTCTTTCTTCCTTTTTTTTTACAAGGTAGTTTTTTTTTTTTTAAGATTTATTTATATTTATTATGTATACAGTGTTCTGTCTGCATCTACATCTGCAGGTCAGAAGAGGGCACCAGATCTCAATACAGATGGTTGGGAGCCATCAAATCTTAAACTAGCCTTTATTTGCCTTTATGGAAAAGCGTGTTGTTGCCATACGCAGCTTGTCTGTGATTGCATACAGATGGAACTCATGAGGACTTTACTCGTGTGGCCTTCCTAACCCCCATACCTTGTCTAAGGCTCTGAATAGAGCTGGCTAGTGCGTGAGATTTTAGTCTACTTCATTTCTTGACTCCTTTGTCCCAGACCCCACTGCCTCTAAGTGGTGACACTCTGTCATTGCAATTTGCTCGTGTCTCAGTTGAAAATAATTGAGTCATATGAGTTATGTTACCATAGCACAGTTAAAATAAATATTACCTGGATTTAAGCCTTAGAACATACTACATATAAAATGTTTGAATATATTGTTCCATGCCAGATATTTGATGAATATTTAATGAGAATATAAATTCTCATAATCACACCAAGTTTATACATACATATATATGAATAAGTATATGTAATATATTTTAATACATATTAATATATACAATAAAAGCCAAGACTGGCTGTGGTAGCCTAGGCTTTTTTATTCTAATCCTCAAGAGTTGGAGGTCTGTGAATTGGAAGCCAGTCTGAGCTACATGGAGAGGTTTTTCCCCAAGAAAAAACAAAACCCAAAGCCAAGCTTCTAGACTGATTGGCTCTCTCACTTTATCCATACAAAATGATGGTAGAGTTGGTTTCACAGAATAGAAACAGAACTGACTCATTTTTTGCTAACTTGTTCCCGCTCAAATCTGGACACTTTGATAGGAATGTCCCAAAATGGCCATTAAATTATAATTACAACCAGAGTTCCCATTTGGACTAAGGCTGCACTCAGACCCTCTTAAATGTTGATGCTAAGAGGAGTCTTACAAAATCTCGAGGTTCCACAGAGCTGTGTAGCGACAGGCTAACTAGCTTTGGTCTGCACACACCGGCTGTACTATTTCTTCAGAGATGGCCAAGCCATGTGCTAAAATGCAAATGAACGTCACCTTTTGGCCCTGTACACACAGGCTGCCCTCTGCTGGCAGAGTGGAGCCATTTCCAGAAAAAGCAGAAATCTGCTAGCTGAGCATTCACTGGGTCAAATCCTTATAACACCAAATGTTTTCCTGATAGCTTTTATGTGTTTGTTTCATATAAGATTTACTTAAGTTAAACGTAGAAGATAGTATAATTTCATCTCTAGTTTAATGACTTCAGTTTCCATGGCAATATGAAATACAGTAATTCCCTTTGGGGGCATTTTAGTACATGAAGAATAAAGTTAATCATTTATGAAGTTTATCAAAAACCATAAAATATCTTTCAAAAAATTTCCCGAGAATGTTGATGGTGTAAGGCAATCAAGCCAGCGTATAACCATAATAATGGAACTAGAACTATCTCAAGGAGAGAGTTTCTTTCTCCTCTCCCTGAAACAGAGTTAGTTTATGAAGATTTAAGCCCACGGGTTAGTAGAAACAGAAGCATTCTGGGGAGGGATAGGATACATTTATGTCTATATTAATATTTTCTAGATACAAATTGATTTTTCATTTTTGTACTTTTTTGATGTTGCTTGACCTCATAAGACGGAACGCCCAAGATAGTTAAGGGAGTAAAATTAGTTTCTAGTTGACACATCAAACTTTTTTGTTTGAAGATTTATTTTTTTATATTTGTATGTAAGAGAGGGAAGAATTCATGCAGCCCATAGGTTAAGAATGACCTTGAACTTCTGATCTCCCCTCCCCCACCTTTACTTCCTCAGTGTGGGATTACAGGTGTACACTGTGTTGCCTGGTTTCATGCAGGGCTGGGGATCAAAACAAGGTCTTCCTGTAAGCTAGGCAAGGATTTTATCAAATGAGTTCCTCAGCCTCTGGAACAAGTTTTTTTTTTTTTTAAATATTTATTTATTTATTATGTATACAATATTCTATCTGTGTGTGTGTCTGCAGACCAGAAGAGGGCACCAGACCTAATTACAGATAGTTGTTAGCCACCATGTGGTTGCTGGGTATTGAACTCAGGACCTTTGGAAGAGCAGGCGATGCTCTTAACCACTGAGCCATCTCTCCAGCCCTCTGGAACAAGTTTTTAATTAATGAAAATAGTAATGATAGCCTTTGAAAGTCTCTGTGACTGTTTCCTCTGTTTTCTTGTTTTGGCAAAAACTATTTGAATTTAGGCAAGTATTTATATTCAATTGTAATAAAACTTAAAAATGGGCCAAATTATCGACAACTATTTGAGAAAGCGTACATACTTCAATGGCATGTTCTACCAAGAACACAGAAACATGAGAAACAAGGGCACGAGGAATGCTGGCAAGCCCCTGGAAGTACTGTGAAGGGCAGGTGTCAATCAACAACCAGACTACTGTACATTGTTGGCTCCATCAGTCCAGTTACCTGAGCTCCCGATTCTTCACGATCGTGCTTTATCATAGCGTGCTTAAATAACCTCAGAGTTAAACAAAGTAGAAATTATTATAATACAATAAAGAATATCCATGTTGCATAAGTAAATCACATTAAATAACTTAAATATTATGACCAAGAAATGAGTATAGTATACATTTATACTGAGTGATATCTCCTTCCCTTTCCCCCCTTCCTTTCTTTTGTTGAGAAAAGGCCTTAAAAGCTTATGCTCACAATCACTGGGTGGCTGAGGATGACTTTGCACTCCTGATCCCCCTGCCTCTACCTCCAAAGTGTTGGCATTGCAGGTGCGCACCATCACACCCAGCTTCCTTCTTCTTAAAATGTTTGCATGCACGCAATTTCTTACTTCCAACTGAATAACTTTAGCAAGTCTTGTTTGAAGGTGAATCTTCTACAGTGGCATATCGTGATGCCTCTAGATTTCTACTGATTATTTTATAATACCGGTTGCTGTTTAGAATCAGGGATTTAAAACGGCCTTTGATACTGAAGCAAGACATTTTCTATTTGATACTACCCTGGTTCAGATGTCTCCAGAGCTTAGAGAAGGCCATGCCATCTTAATGACTCAGACAGTATTTCCCTTCTCTCATCTTCCAGGAAGTTCACTTCAGGGCAGATGCCTGCAGTTTCTAAAATAAAGCAGAGCAATGATGCTCTCGTCTGTGATGCTTCTGTCAGTCACCGTCCCTGTTTCCAATGGGTGCTTTTTCACAAGTGGACTAAGTCTCTGCGAACAGCTGTCTTCATTGTAACGATACTGTGCCACCTTCATTTCCCAGCCCAAGGTCATGATACAGTCAGTGGCGTCAGTTGCTTGGATGTGCTTGTCCAGACTTTGAGAGGTCCTTTCACCACCCATCCTGGCCATGCTAGCGCTCTGCGGCCCCATAGTGCCAGCAACTTGGATGCCTCGCTGTTAGGTCCAGCATGCTGCATGCACTCCTAATCTGCATTTTAAAACTATGTATTTAGCTGTCTCCAGAAATATCTGGAGTCACATGACCACAGGGGCTTCATTTGAGTGAGTGTGTGTATGTGTGTGATGTGATGTGATGTGATGTGATGTGTATGTGTGTGATGTGTGTAGGTGGGGTAGTGAACTTGCACATGTGTATAGAGGCCAGAGGTTGGCCTCAGGTGTTTCTCAGCAGCAGAATACCGCGTATTTTTTGAGACAAGGTCTCTCATGGACCAGGAATTCATCAATTAGGCTAGAGGGGCTAGCCTGCCAATCACAGCGTTTCTACAGTCCCTACCTCCTGAGCTCTGGGATTACAAATGTGTGGTGGCACAGAGGATCAAATCAGATCTTCATGCATGCGTGGCAAGTGCTTGACTAACTGAGCTATTTTCCTAACCTCCATGGAGCGTTCTTAACCCTCACAATAGCAAAAAAAAAAAAAAAAAAAAGCATCATTTTGATAGGGTCACAGGGATGGTGGGCTTGCAATTTTTACATTTAGATTAGCTATATATAATAAAGTTTATTTATAAATAAGACATTGATTTTCCAGTCAAATCCAGTGCTATCGGATTTCCAGTGACACATGACTGACTGGCTGGCTGGTGGCTTTCAGTTTCAGGTCTTGGAGACACACACACACAAAAAAAGAAAAAAATAAGACATTGATTTACAATAAACTCCTGATTGGTGTGAGAGCCAACTGTTTATCGTAAGCCTCAGTGTAAAGTAGATACATCCTAAATACTTACTGTTTAGCAGATAGTCATTGAATTAACAAAAGACCATCTCCAAAATTCCCCATGGATTTTCTAATACATAAAATGTATATGTATGATATTTTGCCAGTACTTACGTCTGTGCACCACTTGCATGCCTAGTGCTGGGGAGGCCAGAAGAATGCATCCTAATCTCTGGAATTGTTTATAGACATTTGTGAGTCACCATGTGGTTTCTGGGAATCAAACCTATATCCTCTGGAAGAACAAGCAGTGCTCTTAGCCGATGAGTCATCTCTCCAGGCCCAGAATTCCTCATGTTTTAAACAACATGTAGCTGTGACTTCATCTACTACTTATAACATGTACCCTTTTCCTTGGAGGAGAATTTTACACCAACCTTCTTCAGCCTATCCCATACTAAACTGGACCCCTACATTCATTGTACTTTAAACCTTTAAGGTATCTCATAATTGTAACCTTGTTTCTAAAGTAACATCTTCATACCTTCCAAACAGGTATGCTGGAAAGCGGAAATGGACAACACCCTAGGCACCTCCTCTACCGCTCTCTGCAGCGCCAAGGCCTTGGGCAAGCCTGTTGCGAGGATTAGAACCTCCAACAGGAAGAGCTTCTCCTATTTCCTACCTTCCTTCTGAAGTGATGATTCCTTTAAACATGCAGCATTCTCATGGCTATAAGCATGACTAGGGCTCAGCTCCACATGATCAAAATATTATTACAGGAGCTGGAGACACAGCTCAGTTGGTAGAAGACTCACAAAACCGTGAAGTTGATCCCCAGCAGTTCATAAAACCAAGTATGGTAGCACATGCCTGTAAGGACAGCATCGGAAGGTAGATCAGGAATTCATGGTAAAAAGAAAGGAAAAAGAGAAAGGCATTTCCCATTGAAGAACAGGAGCTCTTGGGATGATTTCTGTGTTGCCATATTATTTATTCATGTCAAATGTCTTCAAGTATTTTTGTTTTTCGAAACAGGGTTTTTCTGTAGCTTTGGAAACTGTACTGGAGCTAACTCTTATAGACCACGCTGGCCTTGAACTCACAGAGATCCACCTGTCTCTGCCTCTCCAGTGCTGGGATTAAAGGCCCGTCTTCACGTATTTAAAAGCTTTGAGTCTTATGATCATATTTTAATTGCAATAATGTGATTAGTGCTAACTGGTAACTTGAAAGAATCTACAATCACCTGGGAAATGGCCTCTGGGCATGCCTTTGGGGGATTGTCCAGAGGGTATTAATTGAGATGGGAAGACTCACCCAATGTGGGTGACAGCATTTCCTGCTGGGGTCCTGGGCTATGTAGGGGGTGGGGACTGGGCAGCAACATGCATTTGTTGTACTCTGTTTTGGTTGTGGCTGGAATGTGACCAGCTGCCTCAAGCTCTCGCCACTTGGACTCCCACAGGGACTGATTGATACTCTGGAACCAAGAGCCAGAATAAGTCCTTTCTCCCTTAAGTTGCTCTTGCCATAGTGTTTCATGACAGTGACAGAAGAGAAGCTAAGACACATAACATCCTACAATTGTATTCTCGGTGAGACAACCTATTCTTCTGAAGCTAGAACTGTGGGAAATCCTCTCCCAAGAAGAGTCTCCTGATCTATCCCAGGCTTTGAATATTTAACTTTTCATTCTTCTCTTTTGGAGATGGATATGGGCACAGACATCTCTAGAGCACTAGCTTTTGAACTCACAGTCACTTACAGAGTAAGTTGGGTGATGCTGTGAGCAGGCAAGGCTTTGTACTCGTTCCTGTATAAACAAACAGATTCCTCTTTCTGTTTAAGAATCAAAGTCTTGTTCTTCTTTAACAGCATGATTTCTTGGATCTTTTGTACTGGTGTGAACATATTGACACAGAGTCAAAGTTGATATTTAAAAGCTACTTGATAATTAACTGGTTTTGGAGAGGTGACTTGTGGTCAGTTACAAATAAAGACTATAATATGAAATGGGGCCATCACCTTAAGTTTTTCTTCCATAGTGTCATTGTCAAAAAGGCCTGAAATAATTTTGTCAGGGATGGCTGAGAACCACCATGTTTGGGGACATGAAGAAATTGCTCTATGCGTTTAATATCACAGTTCATTATGAATTGCTTATCTTTGGGGGGGCACCTGTCTTACTTTCATTTCTAAAACATATTATGAAACATTTTAAAATACTCTTTTTATGTGTTTAAAATATTCTAGACCGAAAGCCAAGACCTCACACACAGTGAACAGTCTAGAATTCAGGTTGAGTTTCAAACACTTGAAACTGGGGCACAGGGCCCTCCTCAGCCCGCTTTATGCCCCTGCCAACTTCTTTAAAACACTATATTGGATTTCCTTGGAGCGAGAGAAAACAAAAGTCTTTTATATTGCCCTGTATTTTTAAAACCAATAGTTCCATTTGCATAGTTCTATTTATTGCATAATTAAGAAGAAAAACTACTCATGTTGAGGGAAAATTTTCTTTTAAAATGTTGAAAACCTTGTACAAAAAAATCATAACTCTTTTAGCTTTCCACAGGGGAAAATAATTTTAAAATGATTAAAACTTGGTATAAAAAGTAATAATTTTAGAACAAATGTTCTATGCAGAAATCTATGTTTTAGGTTCCTATGGGATGAAAATATTCTGTAGAGATGGAAATATATCATACTTTAAAATTTATTCATGCTCTTTACAAAAGATTATGACACTGTTGAACATAGAACAGACAGAAAGCAGGAGCATATGTTCAGAAAGAGATCTTCCATATAATTATATTGATCTGATATACTGATGGCTTTCTCTGCTGTTACCAAGGGATTCAAGCCAATTATGTACCATGTATGTCAAAATAAATATCCCAAGACAAAAAAAAAGCTAAAAGTGTTAACTAGACTAGCTGTATACTGATTCAGGGTTCTATTGAGATAACCTGCCTCAGTGAATTAGAGGGAACAAGACCAAGAAAGACTCCTGACATCAACTTCAGGCTCTAGATGCATGCACACATACATGTATGTGTGCCCACATATATGTGAACGTGCATGCAAACATATGCACCACACTCACATACGCGTGCAAAACAAAGATGCAGTATGATTAGTTTGTTTATGAAAATAACAATTACACTGTTTGTAAAATGCAGAGAAATAAAAAAAAATCTTGGAAAGATGGCACAGTGATTAAGAGCTCTTCCTGCTCTGTCAGAAGACCTGCTTACAGCTTCAGTTTTAAGCCCCTACCTAGTGACTCACAATCATCTGTAACTCTAGTTATTGGCCCTAGCAATTGGCTTACAATCATCTGCAACTCTAGGTCCAGGGGATCTGGTGCCATCTTCTGACTTCTGCAGGCACCAGTCATGCATACGGTGCACCACACATGCAGATAAAATACTCATGAACACAAGGTAAAAATAAACAGACCTTTACATAATAAATAAATAAATAAAAAGCTCCAAGTACTGAAACTAAACCAAGGCATAACCTGTTAATGATTATAATAGTTTAAAACATTGGAAAATAATTTGGTCATTTTGTCCACACTTCCTGGCCATGTATTTCAAAGTCTTTGCACCTTACAGTCACGCATTTATTCCTGTGGATCATGTTACTAAACGGTCACCAGGTGTTTCTTAAGCTTGGCTTAGAAGACTAGAAAGGACCTGTACCTTTGTGGTGCTAGAAACCAAATCGGGACATTGTGCGTGCTAGACAAGTGCCACTATTGTTCCCAGTCCCAATCTCTCTGTTATTTAAAACAGACAGACAGACAGACAGTCTAAAAGTGATGTAAAACATCAAGTGAACTTTTAATTCTAAAGTTTTCATTTCACTGTAGCAGTTCTAACACACTAACAGTCCGAAGTTTCTTAACTGCGCGTGCCTACACAGTTTTGATTTTAAAAAAATGACTTCCAGGATAGAGTGGCACAGAGCAGATCTTCCTGTTCCAAAAGGAAGAATTTTGGCACACCGAGGCATTGATCAAAGCAAAACAAAGGCAGTATCCACCAGGCCAAACAACCAATCCTGCAGCTCCATGTCTGACGCTGGAGCTCATACTGCAACCAAGAGGACTTCAAAGGGCTTGAGTAGCTCAGTCCTTCCAATTCTGCCCCCACAGCACACATAGATTATCTCTTAAGCTCCACTACATGCCTGCAGCTCCCTTTGGTGTACAAACCATGGTCCTGGCATCTGCAATATCCTGCGGTCTCCACAGCAACTGGAGCTACATGAAAGGACTTCTCAGGACCTCTTTGTCAGAACTCTTACCTTGACACACGTCACCATGTTTTCAAAACCAGTACTACATTGATGATCCTGCCAAGTTATTCTGCTTGATGGATTCATAACCTGGCTCCTTTGGATCACAACTGTGTCAGTTCTGCGGAAATATCTTCCTAGCATATCACAGAAAGAAGCTAGGTTTAAAAAAAATTATATTGAATTTAGCAATTTTCCAGAATTGCAGTGGATTGTTTTGTTTCGTACTTTGTAATTTAATTCTTTAAAGTTTTCTCTCTATTTTTAGAATGGCACACATATATGCATAATGAAATATGATCATATCTAATTTCCATTTCCCATCTCCGACTCTGCCTATATACTCCTTAGCATGCCCCTTCCCAATTGCATAGCTTAAAAAAAAAATCCACTCAGTCCAGTTAGTGCTGCCCACATGTGCATGAGTTTGGGATCCTGCGTGCTGTTATGAGAAATCTACCAGTGGTGTCATCCTCCAAACGAATGAGTCTTCTTCCCCCTAGCAATTATCCACTGCTAACAGCTCCTGAGGAAGGGGTGAGTGTTGTGTTATGAGCGGCGGGCTACTTTCCTGCCACCCGGCCGCCCGCACGGCTAGCTTTATACCTGAAATAATTACACGGAAACTGTATTCTTTTAAACACTGC